AGCACAAGCCTGGGGATCCTTCCGCAAACCCTCCTGATTTTTTTTCCACCCACCGCCACCGCTCCACTCTTCGATTCCTTTGGAAGTTTCGCGGCGGCTCCAAGCGGCGAGCTGGGAAGATTGATGGGATCGCTGCCTTATGCGTTTGTTTGCACGGAGAAGGAAGCTTGACAGAGGATTACGCTGCCCCTAAAAAAATACAAGTAAGTTCGTTGCACAGGAAATGGGCTTCATGTAACTTTGGATGGAAACATTGGCGATTTTAACTTGAACAGTGCATCCGAGTGAGGCGGCTCTCCGGGCAGTTGGCATCCATTCTTCGGAGCTGGGTAACTTGTTGGCGATTCTGTCTGCCTGCACCCCGTGTGTACTGGAGAATTGCACCTGATTTTGACTGAGTAGACTGTATTTCCCTCCCCACCTTTCTGTATCGCGGAGGGAGGAGACGGAGAGTCAAGAATAATTGATAATAATATTGTGCCTCTTGCCATAAAGACCCAAAAGGAATTTTAATAAAAATTTCCTGCAGCTCATGCCAAGGGGGAAACCCCAGAGTCAAGAGTTCCGCGTGACTGAAGACACCCCCCCCTTCCAAGAATGCGAAGCACATCCAATAAAATCGCTGCATTATAACTCTGCTCCCGGCGTCGGGGGCGCAGGGTGGGAGCGGGCCGCGCGGGCAGGATGGCGCACGCGGGGAGAACCGGGTATGACAACCGGGAGATAGTGATGAAGTACATCCACTATAAGCTGTCGCAGCGGGGCTACGAGTGGGAGGCTGGCGACGCGAGCGCCGCGCCCCCGGGGGCCACCTCCGCGCCGAGCGTCCTCTCCTCCCCGCCCGCGGCGCCCCAGGGCCCGGCCGCCAGGACCTCACCGCCCCAGGCTGCCCCCGCCGCGCAGCCAGCGCTCAGCCCGGTGCCCCCGGTGGTCCACCTGACCCTGCGCCAGGCGGGCGACGACTTCTCTAGGCGCTACCGCCGCGACTTCGCCGAGATGTCCAGCCAGCTGCACCTGACCCCCTTCACCGCGAGGGGACGCTTCGCCACGGTGGTGGAGGAGCTCTTCAGGGATGGGGTGAACTGGGGGCGGATTGTGGCCTTCTTTGAGTTCGGTGGGGTCATGTGTGTGGAGAGCGTCAACCGGGAGATGTCGCCCCTGGTGGACAGCATCGCCGTCTGGATGACCGAGTACCTGAACCGGCACCTGCACACTTGGATCCAGGATAACGGAGGCTGGGTAGGTGCATGTATTGGGGAGTGGGTACCGTTGCTTGAGGTCACAGGTTGAAGACTCCTTGGTTGAACACGAGTGGGTGGGCTGTTGGGCCACTGAAATCAAACCAGGTCACTTTCTCCCCTGCTTCCCTCTCTCCCCTGCCCTTCCCTGTTGTTTCCCGCCAAGAGGAAAACTTGCTTGCATGTCGTTGACCATCGGTGACTCGGCCTTGGCCGTCCAGTAGGAGCTGGTGGTAAATGGCATCTCTTGCGTGTTGCTTAAGCTGTGGTCCTCGGAAGTTCATGTGGCTCAGGGAGCTTGTGAGTGTTAGAGATTTCAGGGCCCACTCATACCCACTGCCCCAGACGGCAGGCTTGGGCCCGGGCAATCTGCCTTTAAACCAGCTCTCCCGGTGGGATCCTTCTGTGTGCCAAACTTTGGGAACCACACAGAAGAACAGATTCCACCAGAGGACCAAGGGCATGTTTTCTGAGACTCACTTGGTAAAACTGACCCAAAGGGGAAAATCAATATGCTGCCTTCTCTCAGCGCCATGGGTTTGTAAAGAAATGAGATAACGTTGCAGGGGTCCTTGGACTCCAACCCACAATGCGTGCGTATCGCTTTCCCAGTGGACGTGATCCTGCCTGGAGAAGAGTATTAGACAGAGAAGTGTTACTCATCAGAGATAGAATTAGCATCGTGTGCCTTATGGGCTGAGTCTGTAACACGAGTAGCAGGTCAGGGTCTCTGAGAATTGTGGTATCTTTTACTTTCCACCCCCTCCCCCAAATCCGAATCATGTTGTCTCCGCTGCGAAAAGACAAACCTAACCCAAAGGGCTTCTAGGGTGTGTCTGCAAAGTGCAGAAGAATGGATTCCTGGCTGTGAATTGTCTCGTGCCTTGCTGTGAGTCAAAGTGATTGATGGCTGCACGTTTGAAGGACACCTGTGAGGTGCTCTGTTCTGGTACTGGATCAGCTCGAGGGAGCCCGGTGGTTAAACCGATAGGTGACTAGCTGAAAGGTCAGTGAGTAGTTCAAGCCCACCAGCTGCTCCCTGGGGGAAAGATGGGCAATCTGCATCCGTCGAGATTGACAGCCGTGGAACCTTTAAGGAGCAGGTCTACTTTGTCCTGCAGGGTCACTGGCAGTCGGTCACTGGGAGTAGGTATCGCCCCGGCAGTAGAGGGTTTGGGTTTTGGATGGTGCTAGGTAGAACTTTAGTCATTTGGCCATGCCACTGTTCTTATCTCTTTGGAGGGGGAAAGGGGGTGTGTAGATGCTATGACTCAAGGTTTGTTGTTAACAGCTACGTCTCATATCTAAATTATGAAAAAGTAAAAAGAACAATTCTTGCCTGAGGTTATTTTAAGACTTTTGTTTTCATCCGAAGGCTTATCTTTGGCAAAGGATGCAATTCATTGCTTCCTCTTGTAGTCCTCTGGGAGAATTACTATTGGGCTTATTGTATAGGACTTAACAGGAACAAAACAGTCTGGAAATGACTACAAGTAGCTTAGAACTCATTGCGTGTTTCATCACAGTCTATAAAGCGTGCTAATGTCAAGGGGCCCAGAAGAGAAACAATGGAGAATAGTAGATTCCTGACTTAAACATTTGAGCCTGTTTGGCCAAAGATGTTGGAAATGCCGATGTTTAACATTGTGCGTCTCTGAAATTGAAATATGCTTTGCCAGTGATTTGCTGGTTTCTCAATTGAGAGCCCTTGTGGTCCGCTGTTTTGCCCTTTAGGAGGAATTCACCCAAGGATGGGAGGAATATTTATGTTAAATGTTTGGTTAAGTCAGTGGATTATTTTTTTTATTTCTCTTTAAGCATGAACACCAAAGAGATAGGGGCTTTCAGATTCCCCAAAGAGCATGTTTAAGTCAAAGTAAAACTTAGCTTCACAGTTAGAGATATTTTAAAGTTGTTTTTCCAGTTGGAAGAAAGTTAAAGTGGTAACGACCCTATTGATCTAGTAGCTCAATGAAAGGGAAACAGAGGCATATGTTCATGTTAGAAGTGAAGACAGACTCTGATCTTTGCCGTTCGATTGTAGTCTATTTACCCCCCTCTACAGCTGTGGCTTCTTCTTAAGTGACAGTTCATTTTCCCCTCCTCCTCACATAAGAGTTGCTGGAGGAGAACCTATCCCTGTGGTCCATAGGTATCTGAGGTTGGTGACTGTGGAGCTACATCTTATGGTGCCAAACCACAGTGACACACTGTAGAACATGTTAGGAAAAAAGTCCTTCTTGATGAAACCCCTAAAAGTAAAAATCATGGAGGCGCACGATTGGCCAGTGTTGAAATGTGCAGCCGTTTCCAGAACAACACACAGATTGCTGGCAGCAGGGAAACACGAAGGAATTTGGCAAGGACGAAAGGCACCGATCAGGAAATACAATCGGCTACAGACACTCGGGAATGAAAGAGGTGGCATTTGAGCGTTGCTAGGGGTTTGCCTGTGATGTCAGATGTCTGTTCTTCTTCGTTTAGTGTAGGGATTGGGCATAGGGACAGGCTTTCCTCCACATTTTCACTAGTCGGGGCTGCACCTCTAGTAATAGGCAGTGTGGGCATGGTCTTGGCTATGGTAACGTTTCAGCAGAGCGCTTACACGGTTCCCAATGTGTGACTGATCCAGGCGGGGCTATCGACACAGTGGGTGACTCGGTGCATTGACTGGATCGTGAACCAGTGGAGGCTTTCAACCTGGAAGCACCTCTTTCCTTGGCTGCTGCTGCTGCTGCTGCAACGTCAGGACCTCTCCAGAGGCCAAGGCAAGCAGCCTGCATCCCACATCCCAAGCCTGGGGGTGAGACCACGGCGGAGAGGTCCCTGCAGTCGGCAGATGAAATAAAGATGGAAGAAGAGGGTGGATGCTGCATGTGCTTTCATCCCTAGTCTGCAGTAGGTATTGTGTGACACCCGCAGAAAGGCAGGAGACGGGGAGCAGAGAGACAGCAGCCGTGTCCTAGGCTTGTCGACTCAGTGTGGTCCATGAGCTTCCCCTGGGAGCTTGCTTGAAATGTAGAATTAGCTCAGAGCCTACCCTGGACTACCTGAGTCAAACTCTGTGGTTAACAAGACCCCAGATGATTCGTGGGTGCTGCCTAAGAACTTGATCCCTGGGGGGGCACCCTTTTGGCAGAATGACCCATCAGCGCTCCATTCCCAAAGCTTCAAAGGCCCATAGTTTTACCTGGCACCCTGAAGAGTTCCCAGGTGTGCCGCAAAGGGCGCTGACATCAGGAAGGCCCAGGTGGAGATGAAAGTGAAATGGGAGATAGGGTACTAGGTGCCCTTTCTTCTCAGAGTGCTTTTCAAGGTAGCAAGACAATTTATAGGAGCCCTCGGGCTCAGCAGTTGGATGTTTGTCTGCTCACTGAAAGGTGAGTGGTTCAAACCCAGCACACTGCTCCACAGAAGAAAAATCAGCAGTCTAGGCTTGAAAGATGTCAGCCTAGGGATCCCTAGTGGCGGTCTTCTCTGTCATATCGGGTTGATACTCCACAACCAAACTCACTGCCATCAAATCAGTTCTGACTCATGGAGAGCCTATAGGAGAGGGTAGAACTGGCCCTGTGGCCTTCCTAGATAGTAGCTCTTTATAGGAGTAGAAAGCCTTATCTGGCTTCTGGAAGGAGCTGCTGGTGGTTTTGAACTGCTGACCTTGCTGATCGAAACTTGTAACTAACCGCTCTGCCACCAGGGCTCCTATAGGGTTGATAGGAATCGGAATTGATTTGATGGCACAAGAGGGCCCCTTCCCCCTTCTGCTGTTACAACGTGTATCGGCATCACTGACCCCATTAAAGAAAGCTAGCTTTTCTACTCTGTTGAAAGACCAAAGCTTTAGCTCTTTTAGTAGTTTTAATGTTATCCCCTTATAACACGGTTTAATTCTGCAAATGAGTTTCATTAGTATGCTTGAAACTTCTTGGAACAAAGAGGCTCTTTTCAAGCAAAGGGTTGAGATGGTGCCACGGTGATGGTGGGGGTGAAAATTGTTGCCGCGTCCTCTCAAGTGGGCAATGGGGCAACATCATCTGTATGTGTTAGAAGGCAGTCATAGACGGGCTACCAAAGAAGTGAGCTCTGGTGGCGTGTTGGGTTAGGCATTGGGTTGCTAACGACAAGGTTGTTGGTTTGAGGCCATCAGCTGCTCTGTGGGAGAAAGATGAGGCTGCCTGCCCCAGTAAAGATCCGCAGCCTCGGAAATCCACAGGAGAGAATTCTGCTCCGCCCTATGGAGTCACCGCGAGTCAGAATTGACCTGATGCCAGCGAGCTTTGTTTGGTTTTGAAAAGAATGATCTGGTTCAACCAGAAAATGGTTAGGCTTCATTCTGTTGATGAAGTGATGGCCCCAACTTTAATTTTTTATTTTTAACTGATCTTTTGGCCTTGGTCGTTTAGAAAGATATCCCTGGGCTGCTTTTGCGCCCTCTACCCAGCTTCTCTTCTCTGAATGCAGTCCACACCCAGCAAAAGCAATAACCTTCTCGTGCCAGCGTCCCAATTACGTGAAAGAACATCATTTTTATCGAGGCTGAGAATCAGCTGCTGATGGCCCATGTTGGCAGCAAAAGGCTAGGAGCAAAAATAGCCTGAAGACGGTCCAGTCTTAAATAATATATTTAATGATGAATTTTCCTTGGGAAAGTGTATCTTTCTGCCTGTTAAGCATCACATGACCCCTTTCAATAATTTATTTTGTAGGAGGAAAGAAAAAAAAATCATTGCTCCGAGAGCTTCCAGTCATGTGCTGCTGAGTGATGATATTTCTAGCCCTACTGAACATTTCGTAGTTCTCCCCGTTCGCTTTCCTGTTTCAGGGCTTGGTTGCTGCTTGCTGAGTGGGGCACACAGGGTTTCTCCCGAGAGCCTGTGCCCGTGAGGTGTGCTTTCCAGGGAGAACCGATGGTTCATTTTTTAAGCAAATTGTAGACCCAAATGGTACTCTGCTCTTCCTGTTATCACGTCATTTCCGACTCATAGCAACCCTGTTGGG